AAAACAGCAGAGAACAGCCAGGAGAGGCGCGGAGAAGGTTGCGATTATGTACTTCCAAAGCAATCAGACCATGACTCACTGCATAACAGACGCAGAGAAGGGAAAAACCAACAAGTTTTAACAAGAGACTCACAGTAGAATCTGCATCGTGGAAAAAGCTATCAGGAGAACGCGCTGAATACTGAAGCAACCGGGAAAACACAGAAGCTCTACAAAGAACAAAGGCCCGTCGTCTCCCTCTGAGACGCAGCAAAACACAGGAGACTGCAGAACGCAACAACAGGCCTAACACAGATAACAGTTTCAACATTTTCAGTTCATTTTATACCATTAAACACAGGAAGAGAACCTGCGCTGCTGCATTAGCACACTTAAAATAGATAAAAGCATTTATATTATCTTTTACACAGGAAGAACACAGTCATAGAGTCTGAGACTAATAAGAATAATACAAGCACCACAGTCTGTAAAACACTGAATATCTCAATACAACCTTCTACCAGACATCAGTTCCTGCATCAACATCGTATGAAGAATCACATTATTAATAGTGGGCATTTTAACCCTTGTTGGGACCCTGCTGGGATTGCTCACCATTTCGCTATTGATCAAAAATGAAAATACTTTGTTTAGTGCATGCAGCCGTGATTATTATTATTAGGTACCTGTTCATAAAATTCATAGAAAAAAATCAGCAATGCATTGATACAGAAATTGTGGGCCAAAACCAATATAAGATATTTTTCATGTACATATCAGTCGACGCCAATGTCTTATGTAATTTTTACATTCATGAAATGTAAAAACTGGGACTACATCTACCTGGACTGGCATTGCAGATAAATGTAACATTAATGTCTATGCAGTAACAGGAATAAAATGCAAACAATTTAGAGCAGTAGCCCAACGTCACTGTAAATATTCCATGAAATATCGGTTTAACCCCCTTAACATCCCTTAACAGGCTTATTATAGACAAAGGCTAATTATTCAGAAACTACAGGAATTTCAGTGCAAACTGGTTGAGCTATTCTTAGGTTATACAAGTGAGTAATAAAACTTTGGCCTGTTAAGGGGTTGAAATTTCAGTGTCTGTCCGATGCCGATAAGCGATTCTCTGCTGATACTGACATAATTGTGATATCATTGTGCATCCCTACAAAATGTCTATGTAAATAACCATGCAAGTAACCCAAACGTAAGCCTGTTGTGTCTGTAAAACATCAAAGAGAACAACTAGCGTAAGCGTACAAAATAGACCGCACAACTTACTGTGAATCATATTGTATCGTTCATTATGAGGTTCTCAATTTGATGCGCATGGGACATCAAACAATACATTTAAGAGACTGAAGTTCTTATTTTAAAGTACTAATTTTAACACGGTTATATTTGCGCCCTGAGATGGACTGGCGACCTGTCCAGGGTGTGTCCTGCCTTCCACCCAGTGACCGTTGGGATAGGCTCCAGCTCCCCCCCACGACCCAGAAGGATAAGTGGCTTAGTGCATGAGTGTGTGTGGTGGAAAACAAAGCCGTTGGAGCTGAGCTTGTTTTAAAATGTAAGTTGTTCACATACTCAAATTCATCTTCGTTGCCTTATAAAGTGTAAAATCACTGATTAATTCATTAGTTCAATCATTAATTAAAGCATTCGTCCATATATCGTATATCTTCCGTTTATCCTATTTTATTTAGAAGTATATGTATGTACGTAGTTTATCATACTACATAGGATCATCTCCCCCAAGGGAACAAACTCAATGCAGCAGTTCCATGCCTTATGGCATCACCATGCAGCCTCATTAGGACTGACCCATTTGTGTGACCGACAGGCTACTAAGGAGGAGTCTTCATAGGACAGTCCTACCGAGGACTGTAGCCTAGGCTTTGGAACGCATCTTTTGTGTGAGGTGTAATCAAGCCACAGTGACAGGTCACCGTCTCTCCTCTGAAAAAAATCTTTACCTCGACTTTTAACACAGAGGGAAAAAACACACTTCATGTAGGAATACAATAACTCGTGGCTAGTGTGGTAGCCTGCCCAAATGCAGTTTGGGGCTAGCACATTAGACATGGGACTCGAGTCAATGCATCTAGGAAAGTCTATGACTTGAACACACTGCTGCTTGGCCATATTAACCAGCCTGAAGCTTAGCTAGCACTTAAAGTCGTGGATAGAGTGCTGGCTCAGGGCTACGCAAGATGTGGCCATTTAGCTTGCATTCAGCTGCATGTGTCCAATTATTTTCCGGTTCTATGTCACACACTTACTTAGAAGATCAACAAGACGATTCACAATCTGTTTCACTTTGTTTTATTACAGACTACACACGCCTGAGTAGGCAAACGAACACTAAGATTGCCCGTTGGAATAACCAAGCCCATCCCTTCAGATTCTAGAAGAAATCTCATACACTCTGTGTATCCATAGAGCAGTGACAGACGTGATGAGAGTGCCCCATGGCCAGGGCAGTAGCACATGCCTGGGCAAAGCTCCAGTGTTGACGCAGAGGGCTGTATTCCAGCCTGGAGCAATGGTGGGGGGGGCTTCTATGGGAGGAAGGACAGCAGTCAGCTGACTGAGCTACTGGTAAGTGCAAGCTGTTACTGATGGAGCTTCCTGTTGCTGCAAACATCAGCTCTTCTGCATAAAGAAAGACTGAGTCAGTGGACGCAAGAAAATGGATACCTTTAGAATTGCGCCATAGCAATAACAAGGCACTGTATATCACACAACGACAGGAAGCAAGTCCAAGCACATTTTAGTAGAAATTGAAACAAGGACACTGAGATTAGATCACAGACTGTCAGCTTTAATCTGAAGGTATGCAGGTCTAAATTTTGGTAAATCATAGAGAAATCCTTTTTAATATATTGCTGCTCAGTTGTTTCTTTGCCAACTGTGAGTCATTGCGTCGTTGTTAGCTCACCAGATATAACAAAAGGCCTAAGGCTCATGGCAGGTACAGTCTGCGGCTGTTGTCTCTCAGGAATTTCCTCTAGGAAATGTTGGTGCCAGTCAAGGTGTCTATAAATTCTACAGTTTATAGAAGTAATGGGTAACAGTTATGAGCTATGGGTGTTAATGTTGCACTGTTAACGCTGCCACACTCTCTGTGAGCATGCTAAGGAAGCACACCGTGAGCGTGCTAATGAAACCGATTGGCTCAGTAAACTTTTAGTGGTGGGTCAGGCCTCCCTTGGCTCCGCCCCCAATACTCACTGCTGTATTGCTGTTTCTTTTTGGGTGAGAAACTTCTTAAATATGCTATATGATTATAAACATGAGTAATTTCTTTATATACCAGCCTTGACTGTGTTAACATTCATTTTGTATGTAGTTGCCAAGCTAACAGTGTTAGCGCTAAGCTAACGTTAGTGTATTTTCACTTTCTCACACGATGTAATAACTTGTTGTTAATGGCAGCTGTAGCTTAAACACACTGACATCTGAAGCATGTAAAACATGCAAACAACACCTTCTTTACTTTGTACGCCACAGTTTACAGTAAAACCTTCAGTAAATATGTTAAGCTGAAGCCTGCATGCAGTTCAGTCGCATTGTTTTGATCAAGTTGACAGTGACAGTGAAGAACGTCTTTTTTTTCACAGAACATTGGTGGATTCGCTAAAATTGTGATTATACTTAATAATGAGTGTGTTTATTCCAAATGGCGACAGGGCAGCAGTTGTGTTTCCCCAAGACTGGAAGAACGACAGGCACTGGCCCTGATCATTAGCTATGCAGGAAATATTATAATCAGGTAAAATTATTTACAAATGTCAAAGTCAAGTCAAGTCAAAGTTTACTTATGTAGCGCTTTTTACAACAGGTGTTGTCACAAAGCAGCTTTACAGAAAAATCTGGGTCTGAGCCCACATGAGCGTCGCCAATGGCGACAGTGGCAAGGAAAAACTCCATAAGAGAAACAGAAAGAAACCCTGAGAGGCAACAAGACTCAGAAGGGGAACGCATCCTCCTCTGGTCGACACCGGATAGCAAACAATGTTAGTATAAAGTATTATAGTACAAAAACGGGGGAAAACAGGTGGAGCAATGGTTAATTAGATAGTTGCTGAATGTTCAGTTAATGTTCAGTTGCATACAGTAAATATAAATTTAAGTAAAAGAAATTCAAATATCCGATTAAGTAAATGAATGCCAGCATCTGGACTGAAAAAAAAGAAGTTTCTTGGCAGAAGGACAGTAATCCAAAACAAACTACTAAAGCAAACATGGAGTTTCTGTAGGGTAAAAAAGGGAAAGTCTTTGACTGTGTAATCACCCAACCATAACCCAGAGCACACATTTCAGTTACTGAAGACAAGACTGAAAACAGAAAAGCCCCCAAAACAAGCAGGAACTGAAAATTGCTCGACTGCAGATTTACAGTTGTATGCAAAACATTGGGCACCGTGGCCAAATGACATATTTTTAGATTTTTAGCAAATGTTAATGCACAGTTACTTTATATTTGATTAACTTCAAAAAACAGAAAACATAAGTACCTATGGTATGCGCAAAAGTTTAAACACCCTTCTAGAGTGTAATAAATTCTCTGACTCTTCAAATCTTGTGCTGAAACAGAGCAACCTTGGGCTCCTCCTGAGCTAACTGACGCCTGCAAAACACAGGGATATAAAAAGATATCAAAGCACTTGCAGCTTGCAAGGAAGAGTGATCAGGATACCATACTTGCAACCTCATCACAAAGACAATGTCTGAAGTATGCAAAACAACATCTGGATAAGCCAAAGTAATTTTGGAAACAAGTGTGGACCGACGAAGTAAAAAAACGGAACTATTCGGTCGCCATCACCAAAGATATGTTTAAAGAAAAAGGAACAGTATTTGATGAAAAGAACATCTTTCCAACTATTAAGTATGGAGGGTGGGTCTATTATGCTTTGGGCTTGTGTGGCAGTCAGGGGCAGGGAAAACACTGGTAGATGGAATATGTCACACTCAGTCAAAAAAAACAAGGGTCCAAAACATACCTCACAAGCTGAAGCCTTTGGAATGGTCCTCACAGTGCCCTGTCTTGAACATTACCGAAAATCTGTAGGTAGATCTAAAGCATGCTGTGCATGCAAGACGGCCCAAGAATATGGAAGAACCAGAAGTGATCTGTAAGGAGGAGTGGACGAAAATTCCTTAAACAAAAATGTTCTTTTTTTAAATAGTTTGCTGCAAAGGTTGTGTTCAATTTTTCACTCCAAAAATCAAAATATTTGATCTGGCCAAACATTTTGCATACATTTGTAGTTAAGGATCATCAGGGAAATAACACAGAAGTCTAGTGATACATATGGGTTGCAGACTTGGGCCCAATCCCATTTCTTACTTCTACCCCTACCCTTTTTTTCGAGTGTCATCTTGCTCCTTGGAACTGAGTTACAAACAGTAGTGGTTGAAATCTCCTCTATGAAATACTAGCGCTGCTCTGTAGGCGACCCTGCCAGTCTGCAGTGACAGCAGAGGAGGGTAAAGTTCAGCTCCTCACTGCTGGGCTTTAGTTACATTTAGGGCATCATATGACTTCAAAGAGGGGGCAATTATTTATTAACACCCACCCCTAATTCTTCAGTGATATGAAGCTGAAGTCAGATATTCTTCAGCTTCTCTTTCAAAATTTCCCGTTCCACCTTAAATGGAGCAGCAGTTACATTTAGGCACTTCAGGTGTCAGAACTGCTGGACTATTTAAGGTGGAACGGGAGAGTTTGCTAGCTAGCTACCAAGACATTAGCATACTATTAGTGATTTTTTATGCTTGTTATGAAGAAAACAACCATAATACATTGAAACAACACTAAAGTAAGATAATACAGTGGTTATCGTGATTTTTTAATGGAGAAAATTCTCACATTTGTGGGTTTCTTTGGTCTCTTGTGCTCCATTTTGCCGGTTTTTCTTTTTTTCTCATAACTCTCTGTTTGGAGTCTCTGAAAAACCTCCGTTTGGAGGGTCATGTAGCCCCAACGCTTCTCCCTACCCCTCTATCTCAACAAGAATCAGGACACCCTACCCCTAGACATGAACACACACAACGGAGGGCTAAGGGCTCAGTGGCGGGGCGAGGGGTGAAATGGGATCGGGCTTTGGATTTGCAACCAAGTACTAAACGTGACAATCGTAGCATAGGTTAATGTGCCTAATTATGCAAATTCACTTAAAACAGGTCCCTGACACAAGAACACAGCAGGCTTGGCAAAGCATTATCAGGGAAAAGACTCGTCTGTGGGGTTACAGACTTAAATGTGCAACAACTATATACGCAAACATGGCTTACCCATCTTAAATTTAGCATCTGTTGGATCTGAACAATCCTGCTGAAAGACAAGCTACCTGGGGAATTCCGCAAAAATCATTCCCACCCTCATCATTTACACAGGATGAACATTGTCAGAGCCCCTCATTTCCCGTCAGCTTAAAAGTCAAACTGTGCTCACGCGAATCAGAGGCTATGAGGTTAACACTACAAGCAAAAGAAATAAAAGGTCACTTCATCCCTCTACCGTAAGATAACCGTTGCCTGGCAACCTCGGGCCACAGAGACTCAGTCTCCCAAAGCCTGCGTGGTGGGCCCAGCCTGACAATGGGGGGTCCATGAGTTCCTATCCTGAGGTGCTATCTGTCTGGCTCTGAGGCTTATTACAGCTGACGATACGGTGCCATGCCGACAGTGCCAGCGCTGCCTTCAACTGTTCCACTGGGAGGCTGCTTAACAACATCTGACAGACAGTCTAGACACACTAAAACACACTTCCTGTTCCAGAGATCACTCTGGCGTAGCTGAACTGAGAGGAATTATGTCTGCAATACTGTATTAATATCACTAGGATAGAAATCCGGCCTAAAACATTTGGAAGTCAATGACAGAGTCCTGTTTTTCTGAAAGAAAAAGGGCCGGTTTGAAGGTTTATTGAAAGCTATGTGCCCAGACAGTAGTGGACAGCAATGTAGTTTGCAAATATAGCAGTGTAGTGTCAGAACCAAGGCTATCCCCTTCAACCCCAGGCCTCCAACATAATATTATGAATAAAAAGAAATCTTTTAATACTGGCCAAACACTTTCACTAATAACTGGTTTAAGTCAAAGTTCTCAAAAGATGTCAAAAAGAAAAGAGTCTTCAGACACTGAGTTTGTGGACAGAGGGAAAAAGGCTTCTTCTCTATTTCCGTATCAGGTGGCACAGAGAGACCCAACTGCACAAATACAGTGTCCCAAACTGTTTATATACCATTTATCTGGGGTAGTTTGATATCCCCCCACCTTACTTCTCTAACAGGTGCATCTCTTCATCCATCAATTTGGCCATCGCATGTTGAGCTCACTCCTAAAAACTGGTTTCAACAGGTTTTTCCCAGTCTGCTTTACCTTTCAAGGTCAACTTGCCCCTCTCTTCACTGGGTCAGTAGGTACACACAGGCCTGTCTGTGAACCCACGGGCCTTCCAGTGTCCAGAATCTCCTATGCAGACAGACTAAGGCCTCCCTTTGGGAGAGAATTAATATTCTCTGTTAGCCAATACTGCCTATTTGGTTATTGATCACAATATCTAATCTATGTGATTACTGATTAAGGGAATATTTATTCAAATTCTCCGTCAGTAGCACACAGGGCATTTGAAAGTCATCGATGGAATGGCTCCGTCATGAAACCATTTCACAAAATGCTGCATAGATGACTGATCAAAGGGGTGATTGAGTTTAATTTTGGACTAAATTACACAGCCAGCTTGGATTCCCTGCTGAAAATCCCTTTTAAGTGCAGGGTGAGGTCTGCTCTGTGCCTGCAACAAACAGCTCTGAAAGTTTAAAAGCGCTGATTAAACTGTAATGGTCTGTGACAATTTATTAATGTAATACACCCAGTGCAGCAGTGCTTACTACTACTAGAACCAAACCTCCATTGCACCACGGAATGTATTTATCTGCATTCACACTGGAATTTAATGCGCAAAGTACTGATTCAGTCCATACACAGCATATGGACAAAAGTTTCCCGACACCTCCTGCATTGCAATTTCAGCTACTTTAAGGTGCACAGGTGTTCAATTGTAGACACACTTGTATAAGAAGGGAATAAAGTTCCCCAGCACTGGGCGGTGGAGCAATAGAGCTGTGTTCTTTGGAGTGATGGAGCACCATCCGTTTGGGGTTCAAGTGGTGTTTGTGATCCAGAACTAATCACTCAACATCAGTACCTGACCTCATTAATGCTCTTGTGGCTGCAAGCTGAACCCTCACAGCAATGTTCCAACATCTGTTGCTGCTTGGAACTGAGTTACACGGGGTAGTGGTTGAAATCTCCTCCACGAAATGGGACCCTCAAATAAAAAAAATCACTTCATTAACAGCTACTAGCGCTGCTCTGCAGGCGACCCTGCCAGTCTGCAGTGACAGCAGAGGAGGGTAAAGTTCAGCTCCTCACTGCTGGGCTTTAGTTACATTTAGGGCATCATATGACTTCAAAGAGGGGCAATTATTTATTATCACCCACCCCTAATTGTTTGGTGATATTAAGCTGTCAGATATTCACCAGCTTCTTGTTTGAATTTTCCCGTTCCGCCTTAAATGGAGCAGCAGCTACATTCTGGCGCTTCAGGCGTCAGAACTGCTGGACTATTTAAGGTGGAACGGGAAAGTTAGCTAGACAGCTATCAAGACATTAGCATACTATTAGTGATTTTTAAGCTTGTTATGAAGAAAATGACCATAATACACTGAAACAACATTAAAGTAAGATAATACAGTGGTTATTGTAATTTTTTTTAATGGAGAAAATTCTCACATTTGTGGGCTTCTTTGGTCTCTTGTTCAGCCATTTTGCCATTTTTTTCTTTTTTCCTCTTAAAACTCTGTTTGGAGTCCCTAAAAAACCTCCGTTTGGAGGGTCATGTAGCCCCAACGCTTCTCCCTACCCCTCTATCTCAACAAGAATCGGGACACCCTACCCCTAGACGTGAACACACACAACAGAGGGCTAAGGGCTCAGTGGCAGGGCGAGCGGTGAAATAGGATTGGGCTTGCAACCAAGTACTAAACGTGACAATCATAGCGTACCTCACTAATGTCCCTGTGGCTGCAAGCTGAACCCTCACAGCAATGTTCCGACATCTATTGCAGGGGTGTCAAACTCAACCTCTAAAAGGGCCATATTAAGAAATCTAAACAAATCCATGGGCCAGTTGTGTTTCTGTTTCATTTTTTACTTAACATTTTGGCCATTGTTTACTCAAAACATGCATCAGCAAAACAGGCACTGAATACTTGAACAATTCAAAAATAACCTAAAATAAAAATTTGTTTTATATAAAACAATAGGCTATTTCAGCTGCAGACAACTGTTAAACCTCTTTAACTGTCCCCAGCAGGTTTTTTACAACTGCGTATTTGTCCTTTTCTTTCTGTGTAACTGCAGGCCCATAGATCATTGCTGGGGAGGGGGTCGAGTGCACATTATGTTGCAGTGCATGCTGGGGACTGTAGTGCAGCTCATGATGAAACGGGCTAATATTAATAGAAAATTAAAATAATATTGCGGGCCAAACAGGAGCGTCCCAAGGGCCTGACTTGGCCCGCGGACCTGTGTTTGACACATGGGATCTACTGGAAAGCCTTCCCAGAGGAGAAGAGGCTGTTACTCCAAGGGGGGACGAACTTCATATTATTGCCCTTGATTTCAGAAGCATCGCTGGATGAGCAGGTGTCTGATGACCGAGGTGTCTGATGACCGAGTGGCTTCCCTTGAGCAGTGGCATGTGGCTAGAGCTCAGCAGTACAGCGCCAGGCCTCATATACACCTTGGCAGTGTCATTCTAAGTTGAAAGAGTTGATAGACAAACAGTCTCAGGAATTCAACTGGAATTAACAGTGCTGTGCAAAAGTCAGAGCCCACCCTTCATTTATTTCATTTCAACTCAAAACAGCCGTTAAGTTCAAGGTATTTATTATTTAGTGTCAGGAGAAAAAGCAGAAAATATCTAATTAACAGAAAATTACACAGAGACTTGCTTTCAGTTTTTCAAAAAAATATCTGTAGAGATAATTTTTCACAATTCCACAGTTCAGTCTTTGCAGGTAATTGCATTTCCTGCTTATCATGACTCAAGTAAGCTAAAA